GGAGGTGGTTTGCTTCCGAAGAGCAACTTTCCAACCGGCTCGATGCTTCCTCCGATTTTTCGTAAGCTTTCTGAACGTCCGTTTGCTTTTATTCCTTATAGTCTTCCCAACAGAGGTTGTTGCTGCAAATTTGGTCCATTTGATGGAATGCATGAACTCACGAGTGTATTTGATTAAATTTGTCATTACTGTAGTAGCACAACAGTTGCCATTGCAACGAAGGTAAAAGTTCATGCGAGTGATACAAAAGTCAGACACAGTTATAGTTATGCAGTGAATAATCCGATGATGGAAAAAACGGATAGCACGGCCGAAATTCAAAGGCCCCGCCCAGATGACTACTTATGGGCCTCAATGCGTTCTTCAGCATTTTGTCATCGTAGAAATCCAACAGCAATGGTAACATGCTTCATTCTTGAGGAGCACTGCCGCTGGTGGATAAATACTCACTTTGTAGACCGCGGACTCTTACTCGATCAGAAATATGTGAGTTCCGTAGCTTATATAAGGGGGGATCTTCAGTGTATCAAACCTCGAAATAGAGTCAAGGGAAGGTGGTCGAGCCCGGCGCCTTAGTCGTCGCACGGCATAGATTTTCTATAAGATCTCAGTCTCAGAGGGTGTCTGTCGAAACCGATCACGGACGTGTACCTTGATAACTGTGAGAGAAGCTGATACCGAGGGTCATCTAGACTATTTTCAAATGCTTCGTCCAATGTGAATCGGCTGCCCCTGTGCTTCACAGGTCTTTTCTTTCATACGCAATGTTATCCTGCCAACAACTTCCTAAGATGGCACAGTTTACGAGAATTTCGTCGGAAAGCTGTACTGGATTTAATCAACGAACCTCATTGGTGACGCAGTCAACGCTTTTGTTTGCGTAATTGTGATTTTGAATGCCATATACAACCAAGTTACATCTAAAAATGAATTCTTTATGAACATGCTACCAATAAATCGGAAAGTCTGCCACCGGTGGTTTATAATGCGTGTTAGGTGTAACAGTTCATAATAATTTCATAACTTAATGTTTAACCATTTTAATGTTTCTATGATTAACTCGTGCTAGAAGATGAGTCGACCTGCTATATGTATTTGACAGATATGTTCATCAGGAAAACCACAGCAGTGCCAGCACACTGATGATACAGAGCTTCGTTTACCAATATCTATAATACTGGGGACTCACTTTTTCCCCCACATTGATTGCTGTTCTTGGAAGCCCAAACGAAAAATAAACCTTTGTTACTAAGATTCATCTTTGAGAGTAAGCACAAGCGTGTGTAAACTTATTCAACCACGAAAAGAAAACAGATCACTAGCAGACAAAACACTAATTGTGAGTCATTGTTTACCACAGTCAACTTCACGTGTTTGCTTCAACTAGCTAACGGTCTCAGGGTTACTTAATTTCGGTTTCAGTTTGCACAACCACTGACCACGCATATTCGAGCGCCGGTTTCGGTTGGTCTTTTGGCTGCCCATTTGGATGAATAAAAGAAGAAAGGAAACTTGAAAGTGGAGTCAAAAATAAAATCGAGAAGTTCAGTGGTCTAAGGTTGCAAAGAAATTGAGGAGATGCACGAACGCCACTGTTTACGACACCCAGCCATATCACTCAGTGACTCTAACCCATCGGTTACGATCATCCCGAAGTCCCCAGCCAGGGAGCCTAACAGGACTGATGTGACCCAGTCTCCTGGTTAGGGTTTTCATACCTTCGTGCCAGGTCTTAGCCTGACCACCCTTGGCTTTTTTCCTCTCGGTGTCT